TTTTTTTTTTATTTATGTTGTTTCATACTAATTACTTTGAATTTTATTTTCAGACTTCTGGCCTGGAGGGGGTTTATAACTCCTTATCGAGTATTCAACACTTAATGCCTACATTCCCTCCAGAGGCACAATCCGCATTCCAACAGTCCTTCAACTTTGCATACACTTCCCTGACTGTTGGAGGCCGAGGTCCTACACAAGGGGCGTCGTCAAGTCAAGTTCTATCCCAGGACGACTACATTCCATCCCAGAGGACACAGTCCCACACCGCGAGGCATCGACCCGCTGCCAACATTGGTGGGGGTAGAAGACCTCGGGCCCGTAACCGCGAAAATGAACAACGCCCAACCAATCCACCCTCCCCCCAGCACCTCCAATCTCAAAACCTCGGCCTTGAACAATGTAAGATCTATTTACTTAACAAAATTTTATTTTTTGGGCTTTTTTTATTTTTTTTTATTTTTTCCTAAAGTCGAGTTTGTGATTTTTTTTTACTAAATGCATTACTCAGTTGAAGCGGACGAAGGAGGGGGGAACGACTGCGCTCCGGAGGATTTTGATGATTTTGATGATGACACGCCTCTCGTAGAGCTCCGGAGGGGGGAACGACTGCGCAAACCTAGGCAACCGTTCACTTCTTCATCTTCATAGTTAGTTTGTGTCTTATGTATTGAAATTTGTGGACATATTCGTGTGTAAACTACGTATTTTGATCTTTTTTATAAATTATTGTTTTTCATCTTCTTTTATATGTTGGGTTGATTGATATGTGTATGTTGGGTTGATTGATATGTGTATGTTGCGTTGATTGATATGTGTATGTTGGGTTGATTGATATGTGTATGTTGCGTTGATTGATATGTGTATGTTGGTTGAACAGGTTGGTTTCTTCAAATGGATTCAAAAATTTTGTTTTTTCTGCAGTTTAAAACGTATTCTGGGAATACGTTTTTAATTTTTTTGTTTATAAAACGTATTTTCAGAATACGTTTATATATGAATCAATTTAGGGAAAAATTGAATTGGGGCAAAATTGAATTTGGGGGAAAAATTGTACAAAAAACGTATTTCGGAAATACGTTTTATGTTTTATATTATTTTGTCCATCAAAATTGTATTTTCAAAATTCTAAAAATTCATTTCATTTAAAATACGTATTGTGAAAATACGTTTTATAACTCGAAAATAATTATAAAATTAATTTTAATTATAACACGTATTTCGAAAATACGTATTAATTTTTTATAAAGAAAAACGTATTTAATGTATACGTTTTATATCAAGGTAATTATCTTAATTAATCATATTAACTGAAACCGTATTTCAGGAATACGGTTTATTTTTAAAACGTATTTTTAAAATACGTTTTATAACTAAAAACGTATTTTCAGAATACGTGTGTTTGATTTATTTCCACCCTTTTTTTTTTTTTTTTATTTTTGTCCAGTTATTTTTTTTTATTTTTAAATAAATAAATAATTCCTTAACATCGCCATAAAATCACATGCATTCTTGTGACAATAAATTTCAGATATTCAGCACCTGGCCATTTTGATTTGTTCTTTCAAGTGTTTCACTACTCGATACAGTAACTGATTCTTAACTAAATACCAGTCAGGATAACGCATTTCCCAGGAACCCCAGGCCGTGTTAAGTATATTTAGCCACGAGAGATAGATTACAGATCACTTCTGCTCACTATTGCGGTAATTCCTCAACATATAATTGCCACTTGAATTTCGTAAAGCTATGATGTTTGACAAAGTATACCACACGACTTCTATAACAAGTCAATCGAGCAGATTAACAATAGTGAAATGCAAATGGATTAAACCATCAAACCTCAGTTTGCATATGAGACATTAAAAAAAAACACTTGCATACATTCATAATTTAGAAACTGATGGTAGGCATATCAAGGTAGTTAGGCAGCCAAAACAAGGGCCGATTACCAATACATTTTGTGAGGTGTGATTGTGTGAACAATGGCCGAGTATCAATATATTCTGCAAGGCATGCAGGATATCAAATTATGAGTAGAAGTGCATAAAAAAGTGAGCACAAGTGCAAAGACAAAAACATAAAATGATAAACTGGTGTTTCACTGGCTTTGCTTTCTACATTACGGAAAATTGTTGGGTAAGAAGATTCGTCTAATTATGAGTAGTTCCATGATCGTGTAAGATGTCAAGAGTTATTATATGCGTACTCTATTTTAATCAAATATAGGTTGCTTTGCAGAAAGTATTAAACTCCAAAAACAAACAGAATCTTATAGTCGTAACTATGATCTCCGGCGACCAAATACCTAAATTGGAATCAAATCAAATAAATGACAAACAAACAAATTTCCTCATAATTTTCTTACCTTCAATCTGCAAGAATTCGCATTCCCAGTTTTGGAAAACGACCACATTGGCATACAACACGAACTAAACATTTGATAAGAATAAGATCATATAAGTTACCTTGCTCCTTTTAAGTAAGGAAATCAGATACATACACACATCAAATTACTCAACTATTCAAATTAACATCAAATGAAGCGTGCAAGGAAAAGAATTGTGGGTTCGTACAGATCGAATACGAATATTGACATCCAGCAAAAATATGTATATATCTATATTACTGCTTCAATGTTCAAACATCAGATTCATACACATTCATTTATTAGATCTATAAAAAGCAAATGAAAACAAATAGAATTTACTCAAACAGACAATCAAACCCTAGCAGGTACAGATGGCTGCGCGACAACGGGGGCACCACCATTGATGAAGAGAGAAAGGAAGCCTGGAACACCTCCCTGCTGCTCCTGCTCGTCAAGGAACAGATCTTCCGGAGCCCTAAAAGCACCGTGCAAGCAGACAATTCCGACGCCGACCATGAGGGCGGACACAAGGACGGATCCGACGCTGGTGAGAAAGATCACGACGACGGTCGAGACGATTAAAAAGAGGAGCGTCTCGCGATCGGAAAATTGACGGCCGAAGAGGTTGATCGGCGGATCTGAGGACTGACGGAAGACGTAGAGAAACAGCCAGGAGGCGAGGAGGCCGGCGAGGAGGATCAGGGAGAACGGATTCGTCAGCAAGGAAACGGCGAGGACGGCGGTTATTACAACGAGGTAATTGGTGCGGAAGTAGGTGTAGTTCTTACGGAGGCGGAGGGTGGCCTCCGAGACGGACTCGGGCTTGGAGAAGGCGGAGCGGTCGAGGAGCTCCGGCCAGGGGCGGCGGTGGGCGAGGCCGGCGCTCACCGTCGAGGAGATGCCGGCGAAAAATGAGCGTATAGCGGAGGGAGGGGCGGGTGAGGATAATTGCTGGTTGTCGGCAGCGGCGGGGACGAATTGGGGGTTCGAGATCGGGAGAACCGCGGGAGAAGAATTAGCTGCTGCCATATTTTTTGGTGCTCGACAATTAAGGAGATGGCATTGAGGATTGGTGGTAATTTATAGCGAATATTTGGGAGATTGTCGGTGGATCCGATTCGAGTTGGTGGAGTGGATTCTCCGGTTTAAATGGATAGTTCTGTTTTTCCCAATGTTATCAAAACCGGACAGGTCATAGAACCGGTGAAGCTACTGGTTCAATGGTTCACTGGTCGGACCAGTGGTCGAACCGGTCGAACCGGTTTAACTAATATACAATTTATTTATTTATTTTATATGTATAATATATAATTATATATATATATATATATATATATATTTTATCATTAATTTTATATTAATTTTATAGCATATAATGATATTTTTCTAAATAAGAGTTGATAAATCAATATTTTAAGTATAGCTTACCATAAGCAATACTAAATTAAGTTCACTAAAATAATAGATTAATAATTCAATATTTATTATCTAAAGCAAGGCAATCCAAATTACAAATACAAACTACAAATTCATCAAATCAAAATATATCCAATCCAACATTACAATTCATTAAACATCAAAATACTCTCTCACTCTTTTCCTTTTGTTTGATTTTTTTTTTATTTCATTAATTTTTTTTTTCAAATTTCAGAACCGGTTCGACCAGTCGAACCGGTACCGGTTCACCGGTTTTACCGATTTTGAACCGGTTCGAAATCGGTTCTTGTTCCCAGCGGTTTAAACACTCAAACCGGACCGGTACTAGGTCCGGTTTCCGGTCCAACCGGTCGAACCGGCCGGTCCGGTCCGGTTTTGATAACATTGGTTTTCCCATTTCCCCTAGAAATTGATGGTCAAATTTAAGCCTTTGGTTTGGTTATGTGTAGGTGTAAACGAGCGAGGTCGAGTCTCTAGTCCAAGTTTGGTAAAAAGTTAGTTAATAATTAATAAGTTAGTATAAGTGTATTTTGAGTTCATAGTTGATAATTTATGACTGGTGACTAAGAAATTAGCTGATATAATAAAGATGTTTAGTAAAATAAAAATTTTAACAAGCTTATTTGAAAATACTTATAGAAACTTCTATAATCTCCAAATTTTTAAAAAAATTTGTTCCACTAAACTAAACTTATTTGAATGTTGAAAACTTAAAGACTAAGCTACAAGCTAACTTATAATGCTTACCAAACGTACACTTTATCCATTCAAGCCATATTTTTTCCTCAAATATACATGGTTTTTTCTCCCAAACCGCCACAGCACCACTCTTAAAAACTAACTCAACAAGCTATAAACTAGCTTATAGTAGTTACCAAGCATACTCTTTACCAAACATAGCACAGGTAGCCATATGTTTTCATCGGATATACATGCTTTCAAACTTATGTTGTGAATGGTAAAACTAGTTGATAGCTAATAAATGATTTTTGAACTTATAGCTGAAAAGCAAGCTTATATGGTAAAAGTGTTTGATAAAATTAGTTGATAACCTAACTGAAATAAAAATTTTAACGAGCTTATTTGAAAAGCTATCCAAATAAGTTTATGAGATAAACTCGAGCTTTTTAAAAAAGCTCGTCCGACTAAACGAAGCTTATTTGAATACATAAAGCTTATAGCTATAAATTTATTTGGTTACCAAACATAGCTTTAAATGTCATACTCTAAAAAACAAAACACAAAAAGTATTACATTCCATAACATAAGTATGCATTTTTATTACAAAAATACAACTGAGTCAACTGTCTAACTGTTAGCCTACATCACACATGAAGACCCATGGAGTACTCTCATCTTAGAATGTAACATGCCATTCTACATATATAACACTTCATGTTAACATAGGACGTCGATGAGGTCTTAAAGACAGTTGACCGAAAACAAGAAGTTCGAGAAAAGAAGTATTTCTTGTCCACAATATTTCAGTGTTTTTAAATTTATAATGAACCAGAAACATTATAAAAATAATATAATTTACTAATTGTGTCTGGATAAATATTTTTTAGTCAATATTTAGTTTCCCAGCAATTTCAAGTGTCAATCTTCTTTTAAGACAATAGCTGAGGCGAAGCACGTTTTCCCCACTGCACTCAAATCTGTTGCTTGCCAGCCCTGCCCCTCCTTGTAACATTCAACCTGTAATTTCATCAAAATCACAAAAATCAGACAACATATACAAATATTACAAAAGAGAAAAAGACTAAAACATGTAAATNAAAACAGATGGAAAAGTGTATATGTATACCTTTTCCACAATGTCCTCGTTAGCTTTAACTCCTCCAATAGCATAAATAGATTCAGCAAGAACAGCAGCACATGAGTATCCCCTAGCTTCATTCATAGACTCGCCAGCCATCCACGCTTCAACACGAGGATCATATATCTCTACACTCGGCACCATTGTTGTACCGTCATAACCACCAATAGCATATCTGTACACGCACCCAAAATAACAAAAGGATAAAAAATTAAAAATCCCAACTTATCTCATAATGGAAATAAATTCAGATGTGAAAATGGTTTTTATGAACGTACAGTTTTTCATTCATTGTGACCAGAGAGAGACAGCCTCTCTTGGCATCCATACTCTTGATTCTGGTCCACGAATGTTCTCTAGGGTCGAACCTTTCGGCACTCCTGGATAACATCAAGAATTCAGAATAAACGCTTTTAGTCGATTTTCCCAAATTTAGTAAACATCAACTCTTAACAACGGCAAAAAAAATTGGGTTCTCAACTTACTTCAGATAGTCATATCCATCATATCCGCCAACAACATAGATTGCACCATTAAGCTCCACAGAAGCAAGAGCAAAACGCTTTACAAACGAAAGAAGAGAAGGCACGTGAGTTATAAAAATAATTATCTGCATAGAATTTATCTTATAAAGACGTACACTCATCAAAACGCTGTTTGCTCCTTTCCCAGGAAATTTTTCAAAAACCCAGAAAATATTTTCTGTCATGCCGAGGAGTATTTTATCACTTCTCTTCATACGTGCTCTTTTTTTTTCTTTATTTTGGGGCGAAGGGGAACAATGACAAAATTATGTAAGATCCACAACATATAAACTACCTTTTCTAGCATCGAGCGTGCAGAAATCCACCGTCCAACATATGGATCGAACATTTCCACATCAGAAAAGCAGTCAGCTCCATTCCCTCCACCAACTGCATATATTTTACCATTCAGAGCAGCGCCAGCTAGGCTTCCTTTAGCTTTGTTCAAGCACGCACGTTTTGTCCATTCATCATTTGCAGCATCATACGACTCAACTTCACATAGAACAAGAAACGAGTTTTATATATATATATATATACATCATTAGCACATATATACACTTTATACATATTTATATGGAGAGAGCGAGAGAGAGAGAGAGAGAGAGATACCTGTATCATACCACTTGGAACCAGTTCCGCCACCAAATACATAAAGTTCGCCATTAAAGCATGCAACTGCAGCATACGAACGGACAGAAGACATCGGCTTAAGCGATCTTAAGACATCATGTGAAGGTGAGAAGGATTGCAGGGCAGATGACCACGATGCACCATCAAATCCACCCACCAATAATATCGACTCGTTAAGATTAAATTGAACTTCATCAAGAGACTCGAGCGGCACCTCATCACCAGGAAGTCCCATGGAAGTTCTGGATATGTTTTCCAATTTCATGAATCTGTTTTCCAGTCCATGGATTACTTGTTCTGCCTCCGCCTGAAGTGCGATGAGCAATCAATTACGTGCGAATATATTTTATACCAATACATAAATCAGAACATTTTAAAAGGCTTGTTGTCATCCTAGGCAAAGGAAGCAATGTTTAGCTTCTTCAATGCTGGAGGTAGAAGCTGGAATAGATGTATTGCCGGCAAATATGATCAGAACTAAATAAATAATTAAATAATTGGGTGTGCTAATAAAATAATGAGGGAAAATAATTCAGTGCTACTACCTTACCACCTGCTCCTCTCAAAACTGTGTAAAAAACGATCATCCGTTTTCGATCACATTACTACTTTGTATTGAAATTGACCAGGATCGCCAAGAAAAATATCCGTATTAGATAAAAAGCAAAATGAATTGCACACGTAAGGTTAAAGAAAAAAAAAATTACCAATTTCTTTTGCAAACTTTCCACCTTTTGAGACTGCTCTCGCCTAAAAGACTTTAGCTCTTCCACTTCCCTGCATAACTGCATCAACATAGATAACAGAGGCCAGCTATCTCAAAAGTGCACCATAAACGAGTTGGGGAAGAATGGAGGTTCAAGTGGATGAAATGAAACATACGTATGAACTAGCAGTCAAGATTGAATAAGAAGGAGCTAAAACTCATACTCTGAGCTCAACTTGAATGAACAACAGAATTAAAAGGTATCATAGGATAAATTTATTATTATTTTTTTCATAATGGGCACCATATATCCAAATATGAGCCAGTAAAATAACTAATTAAGAGCAGAACCAAATGAATAAAACCAAATCTGGAGATATCATATTTTTCGTATGCATTTATCTGCAGTAGTAATTTATATGAAAAGACTATAAGGAATCAACATTGACTCATTTGCCATCAGATAACTGGGCTAACAGTATAAGTCAGTAGACAGTATATAATTATATTTGAATTAAGAAATCATAAAAAAAAGATACATATTAAAAAAAAAAGACGGTTAAATATTATTATTATTATTATCATTATTATTATAAGCTCAAGAGCGAAAAAAAATAAAAAATCGTTGAAGCTCAAACAAGCTCTCAGAAAACTCTCGACAAGTTAGTAGATCGAAAAAGCTCCAAAGATACACAGAATCCACCGGAGTCTGAATACTGAATTAAGTACCTTTCCTATAAGAGTAAGATAGTCGATTGACTCCGAAGAGCTCCCACCATTCCTAATCTCCACAGTCACCACGTCATCATCGTGGCTTTCATGCTCCAGATTCACATCACTTGTGCATCCATCCAAGAACTCACAACCGAGGGCCATTTCTTTCAATTTCATGTAAATAAGATCCTTCTCGTCAAATTCCAACATTTGGCCATGCGAAGGTGCATCCATCAATTGATTGTTTCCATTCATAAAGAAAGAATCATCCGAAGTGGTGGATGAGCCAATGGAGTCATGGATATTCATGAAATCATCCTCCGAAATCGGAGGATACGAAGGTCCGCTTTCACCTCTCTTGGCAACAGCAGCCCAATTCGGAAGATTCTGAGGGACAGATGTCCCTGGAGCAACTGCTAAAGACGAGAGCTTGGACATCAACTTGCTTGCTTGAGCATGATCCAACTCGAACCAGAAATGGGACTGACTGTAATAGTTGTCAACGATTATTGGCTTGAACTGATATTCGGGAAGAGCTTGGCATTGCAGGCGAAGACGTATTTGGACCTAATTAATTCATATTTGTAAAAGAAAAGGATTATTATACACCTTTGTTTAAAGTGAAGAGCTGGTGAAACATATCAAAGACTTTTATTAGGACATTAAATAACCGGACGAGTTTCTATGTACTACCTGTGCTGGGTACTTCGTTCTATCTGAACCATCTGCAGTCCAAGCATATGAATCGATACCCATTTTGCCTGAGCTCGCAGCTTCATAGATGCCATGGAGTTTCCTTTCGCTGTAATCGAACAAAAATAGCGGCAGGCCTGGCTCAATGTTCTTTACGTACGAAAAGTGATGTGCTGGCAGTCCTATGAAGCACAGGAAAAGGAAATGGTAATGTGTATAGACAAAGTCCAAACCATTTCCAATATATAGACTGCACGTGAAAGAAAGCTTATGGAAATCAAAGATTATTATCTAGTAATCCAATATGACTAACCAAAGAGTTGGTTGGCTAGACATTCCTTCATAGTGCTCTGCGTGCAACCAAATATGACACCACCGAGTTGGCTCTTGTTCAAATTTCTTGCCCATTTCACGTTTGATGCCATCCTTCAAGAATGAGAAGTTTTGTTACGAAAGAAAGTCATGTATATTTCTACCAGCTCCTAAGGCAATTGGGCGGAACATAATCAAGAGTCAAATAAAACTTGAATTCGAAATGGAAAACGTTGTAGGACTTTCTATGTGATGCCTATGATGCAAAGGCACTCATCCAATCATTACACGAACTAAAATCAGCTGAAAATGTGCATGGTCTACCATTCCTGTTTCTTTTCATCCAACAAAACCACATTTTCCTCAAGGGGGAATTCTTGCTAGATCTTTCTGCTGTTCTTTAACAAACTTCCAGAAAGCAGTCGGTTTAACAGTATATGCATTGACTAACACATTAACTAGAGGGAAAAAGGCAATTAACTACCATCCAACTCTGACTTAAAATAAAATCAAACTCCAAAGAAATAGTTACAAAAATGAAATAAAGCATCATTCCACAGAAACCCCAGTACAACTATTAAAAAAAACATTAGAATTGTACTCAGAAGAAAACGATTACAACCCAATAAAGACGATCATTTACATAATAACTCATCATTCCACAAAAAGACACAGAAGATAGGAAAAGGGAACAAAAAAAATAAGAACTTGATGACAAAAACATGACTCCTCTACAAATTAACAATGGAATTTTGTGAAATGTAGATGATTTATAATCATAAACTCAAAATCCATTTAATTTCCAACAAAGATGAACCATGATATGTACCTATCTTATCTCCAACAACAAAAATTTACCAGGAAAGAGAATAGCATAAAAAGGATCAAAACCCGCACTTGAAAAGTGAAACAGACGAACTAAGAAAAACCCAAAACCCTTGAAATACCAACAAAAAGATAAGCAAAAGAAAGATCAGTTGATCGATGCGGTTGGATCAAATACATACATTGTTTATGTGTCTGCAAAATATGTCGGAAGTTTTTAGAGGAAAAATCCTTTGCTGTGAATCACTGTGAACTGTACCTTCGAGTAATGAAAAGCGCGAAATTTGTTTGGAATAGCGACCAGCAAGGAGTCAAGGACACTGGAGTTTTTTTATCCTTTGATTTATTTATTTTTTGTTTTGTTTATTTTTCATCAGTTCAAACTGCAATGTAAATGGGTTTCCTGTTTTTCTGTGAGCTTTTGTTTTTTGTGTATGCTTTTGGATATATGGTGAATTTTCATATGAAAATAAATAAATAAAGACCTTTTATTTATAATGAAGTGATTTATTACTGGTTTACTCAAAAAATCATAACCATATATTTGTTAAACATTTTTATTAAAATAAATATTAAATTTACGATTTAGGAAATTGTTAATTTATAAAATATGATTATATATTATTTCTTTTTGGTGAGGGTAATCTGGTAGGTAAGATTTATGCCATAACAATTATATGTTGACTATATATTACCTTTAGAAGGTTGCAAAAATATGTATAAGATTGCAAGAATGTGTGGAAATTATAATGTTAGTCATTTTTCACCATAAACTTTAAAAACCTCACACATCAATTTTATGGATCCCATATTTTTTTCAGTTATTTTTAATTAATTAATGCCTTTTATATTACCATTCATATTTTCATATAGAAATTTATTAATTAGTTTTAATTTTTGGAAATATTTATTATAACATCATAATTAAATAAAAAATATCGTGATTTACATAATTTTTATGTAATATTATAATTTTAAAATAGAAAATGACAAAAAGTTTGATTACAAAATAATAATAATAATAATAATAGTAATAGTAAGAAAGACATAAACTATATGAGATTACTTAAAATATTATAGACTTTATAAAACATATCAAATTATGTTGAAATACTAAATTTCAAATTACAATGGAACACTTTAAATTTTCAAATAATATAAATTCAAGTAAAAGCTATTCAATATAGAGATTAAAAGGCAAAGTGTTTGGAAAATCGAACTTATATTAAACAACAAATATACGCAAAAAGAGAACACGATTTGCAAACATGAAAGACAGACTTCAAAAAAAATATAAAAGATAAGTTTCCTTTTAATCAGTTTATAAAGTTTTATTCTTTTATCATTTATGACACTTAAAAGCTCAAACAACTTCCAATAAATCAACATATAGGAGATAGGACATCTTATAAGATATATAAACTATTAAAATATTGAATAATCTCATTAATTTATTTTTTCCTTTTAACAGTACTGGGATATCAATTTATTTATGAGGAATTTGCACCACATACTCCACCATTCAATTTATATAACACTTATATATTCAATTTCTTTTTATTTATATAATTACCAAATCAATCATAAAATATTGCAAAACTACCTAATATGGTTTAAAATCCTTTCAACCGTTATGAAGATATTAACGGGCTAATCAATTATATTGAGATCAATGATGAAGATATTCTTACCAAATAAATCGGAAATATTTCAATCTCTATAAAAAAAAGATCCCCCACCGCCCACCCACATCCGCACGTCTCTTTCTTTCTGCAAAAACCTCTATCTCGTTCCCGACTACGCTTCAATGGCCAAGACTAAAGTACCACGTTCTACTTGGAAAAAACCGTCAAACGTGGCCGACGACACCCCACAAATTAGGTCTAGTTCCCAACTTCGCAAAAGCTCTTCAAAAACAAAAACAAAACTTGTTCGTCGGAGTCTATGGCGTCGCCGGCGGCTACAGTTGTGCACGGCGGAGGGCTGAAGGGCGGACATCATGCGTATGGTGATTGACCGTTGTTGCTCAGCGACGATACGTGTGTTGTGACGTACGACGTACGACGAGAACTCTCGATCTGGCGGTGTGCACGACGATGGCCTAGCGTGGCTCTGCAGAGAGGAAGATGAAGACGAATGTGCTGGGAATAATTTCCGAGGGCTAAGATCTCTCCCAAGTTGGAGATGACAGTATATCTACGGTATATGTACAGTATATGTTCACGGCAGTATATATTGCGTGTGTAGACATGCAGTATATGTGGTGTGTATATGGAGTATATGTTCAATATATTAGATGATTTTTTTTACACTGTTCAATATATGTCATGTGTATATGGAGTATATATATGTTCAGTATATTAGAGGATTTTTTACTTTTTTTTTTAGGGAATATAAGTAACCTGTTATACATGTTTTTCGTTGCAACATATACTGAATATATACTAACATAAACGCAATATATATCACCTGACAGTTGCATGAATTACAATACATGTTTTTATTTTCTCTTACAAGCTGCGCGAACAACATATTTTTTTTTTTATGGAAACGGCTGATTTTTCCTTCCATATCAATGAAGGCAATGTTCTTTTTTTCTTTTTTTTTTTTATGGAAACGGCGGAAATCATGGAAACAGAAAGTGGATGGAGTCCACTTTTTAGGTAACTGAATTTTAGGCATAAATGTAATTGAATCTTGACAATTAGGTAAAGATACAATTACTTCTTAATGGATGATAGATTTGCAAAATTTTTAATTTCATGTAGGATAAGTAAAAATTTCCCTTTATTTATTTAGAACACAAAAATGGGGTTTGTACAAGAGTTATCTGGACCAGGTCACATGGGTTAAGAAAAGCCCATCCATATATTCCTATTAGGCCGTATACTTTTAAATGGGCTCAAATTGTCAAACAGGCTTGCTAGAATAAGTTGATTTTATTTTATTTTTCTTTATCAAATCCACTCAACAGTTAAATTATAAACGTAATCAAATCAAGGTCAATAATTAAGTTTAATACTTTATTTTTGCTTTCATTAGTAAGCGTGGCTCCTATGATCCCACCCTTAACAAAGCATTATAAAAGTGTTCATATTTTTCTATCTCGTGCTCATTAAGGAAAATCATGCTTAACAAGTACAAGCGTGCTATGGTTGCACAATTTCGAAATTTAAAAAATTAAATAAAAAAGTTAAATAATAATGCAGTTAGACCACGTACAGAGAAGTTGAGGAAATAATGAAAACTACTGTTTAATCCACTATATAAGTGGCTTTACTGATGTGACATCCAAAATTAATCCAATTCGGCCATGACTTGACCTGTATTCAGTTTAATTAAACTAGTTGAATAATGACTAAAATCTCTAAAATATTATTATCTGAATAAGCACTTTCCAATCCATTCGCATGTAGCCACTCTTAGTTACAAAATATTATCTCAATGCTGTTTTATAGGTTGATTCAATTTTTGATTCAAAACAAGGTTATTCGACTGAAATTTTGGTGGACTGTTATTCAATACAATATCACATTACATAATCATAATGTTGGCAATGATGGCACGATTTAAGGTCTTATCTAGTTGGGTTTAGTCGATGCCACCCGCGCGGGTGCCACCCGTTTCCACTGTAGACGAATAGCAACGTGCCATGTGGCACTCTTTCCTTTTCAGTCCATTTTGATTTTTCCTGCCCATAATCCCATTTTCCGTTTCGACTAAACCATTTTGATTTTTATTTTATTTACTACCCATGGTTACAACAGATCTAACACTAAACCATGGTTACAAATTAGATCTAAAATCACATTTGAGATCTAAAATCACATTTGCATACAGAAGGCTTAGTTCATCGCGATATTTATCCCCCATCACATATCCTGCGCGAAATTCATCCCCCATCACAGATCCATCGTGAAATTCATCCCCCATCACAGATCCATCACGAAATCCACGCCCGCTGCGAGAGAAACATCATTTCATCGAGAGATTCAGCCCCGATTCACAGATCCGTCGCGAGAGAAAAGAATCCATCATCTCGAGATTCAACCCCGAAATCCTTAACCATTTCATCGCCCGATTTCACAGGTAAAAGAGTTAGGATTCTTTTTAGGAGGATAAAAGTAGTTATTTTTTAAATCAGTTTTGTGAATTTTGGGGAATTAGGGTTCATCGCCCGATTGCAAAATTAGGGTTTATCTTAATTAGGGTTTCTCTTAATTCTTTACTTACTCGTTATTGTGATTTTGTAGAATTAGGGTTGCTCTATTTTTCTTCCTTTCTGTTTGTTTTTTCAGTTTTGCAGAATTGGGTGATTTTGCAGAATTAGGGCTTCTCTTAAATTTCAATTTTTGATATGTTATTCTAATATAATATGCTTATAGAAATTCGTTTTTTTTCAGTTTTTGGGTGATTTCGCTTAAATTTCGAATTTGCAGAATTAGGGCTTATCTTATGTTCGTGATTTTTTGGGTTACTCTAATTTGTGTTTTTTCAGTTTTTGTGATTTTACTAACTTGTGAACAGTTGTTGTTGATTTTCATTCGAATAATACGTGCTATTAATGGTGCATCATTTTTTTGTTTTTTTTTTTCTTTTTTCTTTGTTGGACGTTGAAGTTATGATCAAGAAGAAATATATGTAAAGTTACTCGTTCAGTTTTGGTGACGGAATAAGATGTTTAGGAAATTTTTATATCTTTGGGTTTATTATTTGTTCTTCGAAATCTTAGAACAAAATGAAGGGCCAGAGGGCCATTATATATCTGCTAGAGGTTTGCTTATATGTATCTTGCAACTACAAAGCTTTTTTCTTACTAGAGGGCCATCTGAGTACTAAGATTTTTTCTTGCTTGTTCTATTCATTGAATTTGGATTTGGGTATCGAGTTGTTGCTTGAATAATAACATTCCAAATTCAAACCCAATTTTTTTGAAGGTTTGCAAATGTCACAGACTTCAACCACTAAGAATTTTGGAAGACCAAGTAGACTGAAGTATGAAGATAAAATATGTGACACATGTGGAATCAAACTTGCAGTTAGGATTGCTGGCTCCCGAAGTCCAAATTATCAGAAACTCTATTACGCTTGTGAGAGAGATGGTGGATTTATGGGTTGGGCTAATCCAATAAATGAAGACGACGTAAGCATAAGGGAAGAAGTTAGCACAAGCGAGAAAACTATAGTGGATCGTCAGAGCTACAAAGATGTGAAAACAAAAAAAAAAAAAATTGATAAGATTTATGATTTATTACTTGTATTATTTCTAGTAGTAATTGTAATGCTTGTTATTATTGTAATGAAATAAAAGAGTTGGTATTTTTACTACTTAGGACATGAATAACTATTTTGTGATTGTAATGTAATGCTTTTTATTACTTTTTATTGTAATGTAATAACTATTTCTAGTAGTAATTGTAATGCTTTTTATTACTTTTTTTTGTTCCATTTATTTTTATTTTTGTTTTATTTATCTTTTCTCTTAACAAGTCTCTTAACAAGTTGGTGTAATGAGTTTTAGAGCTTGTTGTCACTAGTTTACAATGTATCATTCTAGGAAAGTTTCAGTACTATTTTTAAAGTGTAAGTGTTGGTTGTGGATTATTGGACAGCAGGGCCTGTTTTTTTCCTTATGGTATGTGTGAAATAAAGTTAAGAAGCACATTAGAATGTCACACCAAGTAATTAAAACTTGTCTAAATTTGATGAGTTGAGTGCCTTGTGCTTGATAATGTTTCAGTACATTTGCCAATGCTTTCTTTCTAGGAAAGACTTTCAAAAAGATGTCCCTCTAATAACACTATTACACCACAATAAAAGAGTCAATCTAAAAATAGATGAGACAGTGCATTTGCTAAAACCGATCAACATCATCTTCAATTATACTAAATCCGATCACCATCATCTTCAATTATCGAAGGGTCCCTACAAAAAATAGATTCAAATGGTAAAGATTATAACATTATTCAATATTAATTTACAAAACAATAGATTTGGTGTGATGTACCTGTGATGAAAAGGGATTCACGTGATAACCAAAAAGATTAAATGGACCTACATTGATGTTTCCATCTCCTCCCTACACATTAAAAAATAAATAAATAAAAAGTTTTAATTTTATTGATATTCTTGTAGAACAAAGTAATAAAAGCATCATTTACCCCTTGATTTATGTTAGGCCAATGCATCGGAGCCGGACCCGGAGCCGGAGATGGATAGAGTGGAACATAATTTGAGGGGCACGTGTTGACATCATTTTGAGAAGATTGAGTCGGGTCACCTAAATTGATGTTTCCACTTCCTCCCTACATATTAAAATAAAATAAATAAATAAAGGTATTAATTTTATTAATATTCTTGTAGAACAAATTAATTAAAAAATTACTTACCCCTTGATATATGTTAGTCCAAAACATCGGAGCATGAGGTGGATATTGGGTCGGGCCACCTAAATTGATGTTTCCACTTCCTCCCTACATATTAAAATAAAATAAATAAATTAGTAATATTCTTGTGGAACAAATTAAAGAAAACATCATTTACCCCTTGATTTATGTTAGTCCAAAACACCGGAGCCTGAGATGAATAATGTGGGACATTATTTGGCACTCCCGTGTTGACATTATTTGTCTCTCCCTACAAATTAAAATAAAATAAATAACAAAATACCAATTTTATTAAAATTCTTGTAATCTTGTAGAATAAAATAATAAAAGCATTATTTACCTCTTGAGTCTTCTTTTTTGACCTACTCGAATTTCCCACCTTTTCTTTGCCCCGTTTTTTTTTCTTGCTCTTGTCGTCCCAATGACGTGTTATTTGAGCATTTGTAACTCCCCTTGACTTGGTAGGAGGTGGATTGCGGACACGGACATTATCTTCATCAACCAATTCATCACATGAATCATCCATGTCCAAATTCTTCAAAAGAGAAGATATTTCTTCATTTGCGTCTTCAAGGATTTCAGTAAACCTACTTCTCGTCTCCCGGTGAGATTTGCTACGATGAACCAAGTCATAAGAGGTCCTCATTGCATGGTTCACAAACGTCAACTCAGAAACACCACAATTTCCATGAGGAGTATATCCTCTTTCAAATTCTTTACAAAACCTTTGTTCCGCTTTTCTTGACCAACGACTCAGGATGTATGGTTCGGGCAACACAATGATATTCATAGAAATGAAAACCTTTAGTGCATGTCTACATAGTATTCCCCTTGTTTCAAACAAATGACAGGAGCAATTCACTTCAATATCATTTTGTCGAAAAAACACTTGCCTAACTTTTGAGTCGTCGGTATGAGACCGCAAATTGAATCCAAGCCAACCATTACCAATATCATTTTCATCAATAATTGCAATATTCAAAGACTGAACAAATTCTCGCTCGAATAACTTATATATTGAGAAAGTATATACTTCAGCGGCGTGCGACAACAAGGGATTATTTTTAACAATTTGCCCCGGCCTCCCATGGCTACAATGAGCATCGTCATCTCTCTCAGTAGCCCTCCATTTATTTTGAACTTTTTCATAGTTCAAAACAAATTGGTGCAAAGTAAGAGTCTTATTACCCAAATCTTTCAAGACACGATTTGTTACCTCACTTCTTGAAGTGGCTTGTAGACCTGCACAAAACTTGTCATTACTAAAAGCCGTGGCCCATCTCTTTCTCAGTTTGTACATACCCTTTAGCCATTTGTGTTCATGAAGACTGTACTGCTCAATCATTCGCTTCCACGTAGCCTCAAACTCATCTACGGAATCACAATATGTCATGCATTTATGCCATAATTTCTTAAACTCCGATTCACCATTCAAACTTCCTAAATGGGATGGAGCATTTTGATTGATATGCCATTGACATAAACGATGATGCGAATGTGTGAACACTTTATCAATAGCATTCATCATGGCTTGACATTGATCAGAAAAGACAACTTGGGGCTGTTTTCCATTCATAGAATCAAGAAATGTGGAAAATAACCACTCAAATGAACTTTCAGTTTCATCGGACAAAAAAGCCAGTCCAAACATCACGTTTTTATTATGGTGATTTATACCGACAAATGGAGCACAAATTAAATTGTACTTATTTGTTTTGTAAGTTGTATCAATCGATAGCACATCACCAAAAAAATCGTAATCGACTGCACATCTTTGATCCCTGAAGAAAAAGTTCATTATCCGATTATCATCATCCAACTGTACATTCCAAAAGAATTGATTTTCCACATTTGATTTGTTTATAAAATATTGAAGCAAACTAGCAGCATCTCCATCTTCAACTTTTGTTTGCCTCTTTAGACGGTTAAAATGATCATATGCATCTTTTACGGTAAAACCCAAATTATTTGCACCATGAGCCTCATTTTTCATAAAAGAAACGGCATTAGTAACACTAATTCCTGCATTGACCATAGCTTCTAGAGTAGATTTCTTTGCATGCGTGAGATTACGTGATGATCTCAACAAATGAGTTTGATCAGGTTGAACCATTTCATGATTATGCTCAACATAAAACCTACTCACTTTCCAATCCCCTTCTCTCTCTCTCGTAATTCTAATTCTTGCTTTGCATTTTGTTCTAGTTATCGATTTTTGATACTCAGGAATATTATTCCTAGAACGTCTTTCATCCTTAACTCCTTCACAAGAACATTCAAATTCTTTCATTCGTATTTCTTTAGTGCCCGAAAAAAACCCTTGATCACCTTTTCTAACACTAAAACCTTTAGCATGTGCATATTGACAGTAGAGCAAGTATGCATCTTCAAGGTTATTCATTTTCATGCCAACTGCAAGTCTACTTTCTAAATGTTCTACTACAGATGCAAAAGATTGAACCTCAGAATCTGGTGGAGGAGAAGAAAACCCAGTAAGTTGTTCTTCAAGCTCTTCACCATTATCCTCCAAGTCTTCACATTGAAGATAATGATCCATTAATTCAATATTACCTACAACAACAAAGAACTAATCAACAATAGAAAAGATTTCTTTGTTATGCCAATATGTGGTGCTGTTAACAATAGTCATCCTTATTTTGTTCTTTTAAGGATGCAGATTTCAATGTGACATTACCAGAAAAAAGCCAATGCATCGAGTTCCTCATGTAATAACTAAGCTTAAAAAGAAAAGATTCCAATCTTACTGGAGCAAATAAATAAGTAAAAAAAATTAATTAAGCTTCAAAAAAATTTGTTCTTATTTTGTTGTTCAAATTTAAATAAGTAAAAAGATTCCAATCTTACTGTTAACAATAGTCATCCTTATTTTGTTCTTTTAGGATCAGTAAAAAAATTTAACAAATAAAAGTATTCCAATCCTACCTAATAACCAAGCTTAAAAAAAAACAAAAAAAAAAAAAGTAAATTAAAGGCAGAAGAAGAATCTTACTGGAGCAATTAATTTCGTTAACCAAACTTTCAGACATAGCATACAGAATAATTGACTGAATAATTGAATGTTCAAATTTATATTCGAGTCTTAAGCCCAGAATAATTAAATGTTCAAATGCTCCATTTCCTATGTTCACTTTTCTTCAAACAAATAGATAGACATTGAAAGAAAACCTAGCTGTGATTCAATTTACCTCTGAAGAAGATGAAATTCTATCGAAAAAGCACCGAGCTGTNAGCGGAATTTGAATTTTAGATCTGTTGTAACCATGGTTAGTAAATAAAATCAAAATCAAAATGGTTTAGTCGAAACGGAAAATGGGATTATGGGCAGGAAAAATCAAAATGGACTGAAAAGTAAAGAGTGCCACGTGGCACGTTGCTATTCGTTTACAGTGGAAACGGGTGCCACCCGCGCGGGTGGCATCGACTTAACCAATGGGGTGAGAATAAGTACAACATATTATTGGAAAATATTGAATGAAACTTGTGTTAGAAAATATTTTATTTCCTATATATAATCTAATTATGGGCAACATATTATATACAATCTATACTTATATAATAAGAATTAACATTTATCAAAATTAGTAACTTAATTAATGATCAAAGTCAGTTTTGCATTAATTACTTTCCAAAATCGGTAACTCTTATGTCCAATTCACACGCCTTATTAAGACAGCATTTATGTCCTTTTCACACGCCTTTTAAACTCATTAATTATACTGATTTAATTCTCATGAAATAATCCCAATTCACACGCCTCATTAACAGCGTCCTTATCGCATAATTTTTATGGTAACGAAATAATCCCATTTCACACGCCTCATTAACAGCATCCTTATCACATATTTTTATGGTAACAAAATAATCACATTTCATATGCCTTTTAAACATATTTTTTTAACGATAAATTGAAGAAACAACAATCGTATTATAAGATAAAGATATTTGGGATAATTTTAAGATTCAAAAACAAAATGTCGTGAGGAGAAGATATTTCATACACCTTATCAATATTCAAAACTGATATTAAGTTTGTTATTCATTTCCTAAAACAAATACACGTGTTGAATTATTATCATATTCACAATACGTTTATATGACAACATGTTTAATGATTAATGAATATTTATATATCATTTTATTAATATTTATGTGAATAAAATATTATTTTATTATATTTTTTATTAATGTACAGTGAATATGGTTTTCAGAATCGAACCATCATCGAAACAATCAAATTATTCTATTAAAGGGTTTATTGCACCAAATCCCCCTGTATTATACTAAATGTGTGCGTTTTCCCCTTGTAATTTAAAAATTGCGTCGAACCCCCTCGTATTTAACTAATGATAGCACGATACACCCCTCTCCGTCTAACTTAACGGCGCGTGCAGTACACATGCCTGTATTGCAACAATTATTCATTTTTATCTTATATTTTCTTATTTTAAAATTGAAATTTACTATTTTGTCCATTAAAAAAAAAAAAAGAAAAATCCAAAAATATCCTTAATTCATCTTCAACCTCAAATAATAAAAAAAAAATCCAAAAAATGAACAAAAATCTAAAACCCCGGCACTGCTACTTGACGTCGCCGAGCTCAAGCTCCGGTCCTTCTACCGATCCCTCATCGCGGAGTTCATCACCTCCCTCGTCTACTGAACCATCGGGATGTGAGGTCCCACCCCCAAATTTCATTCAAAACCCTAGATCTGAAACAATATCTAAAGTTTCATCCCCCAAATTTCGATGGAATTTCCAGTAGGCAGCGGCGGCAAGAGAAGTCTTCTCTTTCACTTTTTTGGCTCTCGGATCTGAATAGGGAGAGACCTATTGCTCGGAATCTTCTAGCCGCCGGAAAAAGAGAGGTAGGAATGCAGGGATTTGTCCATGACGAGGCGAGCCGGAAATATGGGGTTTTTCACGATGATGATGTCGGAGATGACGCCGCATCGCCGGCCGCGACCGTCCATGATGCTCGCCTCCATCTCCACCGCAGGTCCTTCTCGAAGGTGACCCTTCCGTTCTGACGCCGACGTCTCGATCGAGGATACCCTAGGCTTCCTCAGGTTCATCACCACCGCCGACGACCTCGGAAACGAGGTCTGCGCAGTCCCTGATGAGGGCCCTGCCGCTGTATAAATCGATGGAGAATTCCTGGGCGGCGGCGGCGGCGGATGGAGTCACATATTCGTGGGAGAACTTCTCTTCAACCATTGCCCATATGCATAGACGCCACCTATCTGCTCCCTCAATTTATCTGATTTTTTTTTTCTTTTTTTTTTTTAAAAAAAAATGAGGGCCCTTTTGTTTTCTTGCCGACTTCCTCTTCCCGTGATTGAATATTTTTCCAATATGCAAATGCAACACTATTTTGTAATTATTCAATTATTTATATATTTTATCTTCTGGGTGGGTGCTGTGCTGTCCATCTGAGCAGATAGGAGAGAAAAATTGACGAGAAGTCGGTTCTCCAACTCAGGGACATAACGGGAAGTTTGGTAAATATGTAATGGTGTTACCACTGAGACACAAGTTGGGGAGCGTCAGCTGACCAATACTTAATACGAGGGGGTTCGACGCAATTTTTAAATTACAAGGGGAAAACGCGCACATTTAGTATAATACAGGGGGATTTGGTGCAATAAACCCTTCTATTAAATCATTTGTAGTTTATTCAGATTTTAATTTATAAACATTTTGATATCAATATACATACATTTTAATATATATATATATATATATATATATATAGAGAGAGAGAGAGAGAGAGAGAGAGAGTACTTTTTGTAATAAATTTTAATAAAATGTGTTACTTAAATATCTAAACAATTTATAAATTCAAATGTTAAAACAAATTGATAAATAATTTATAAATCTCTATTTTATTTAAATATGTAATTTTATTTAAAATAATTTTAAATGTAACAAAATTTATTTAGAAAATCGTAACGATCTACCAGTCCAACTGACTGATGTTGACGGATTCAATAGTAAATATTTTATTCAAGCGAACTACACTGTTTATAACCCGGTTCTCGGTCCATCCGGTCGGACTGTGTCCAACCTGGTTTAATTTAAAAACAATGTGTAAATCATAATTAATGATATTATATATTTAATTTATAATATAATCGTAATATTATTTTCCAGTGCATCGCACGGGCCACGCACTAGTTATATTAGCTATTCAATTAATTAATAGACTCAATTAAGTGATCTAAATAAAGTAGAGTCAATGGGCTAGGTAAATTGATATGGGCTGATTGAGTGGATACCTAATATTATTAGGGTTAGGTAATAATGGGTGACCTACCCTAGTAGTATATAAAGACCCTCTTGGTTATGGTCCCCAATATACTAAATCAAACATAGTTCTCTTTTTTCCCCATCTGAATTGAGAATGACGGTCCCATATGGGGAATAAGACGATTTAGTTGAGGAAGACCATAAAACCGACCCCGTTCGTGATCCACATCGTGTTCATGGAGATGGGATCCGGAGATTGATGATAAGGTATTCCGCATATAGAAACTCAATCTCAATGGATTCAGGTATTCCTTATAATCTTTAATTATAATCTAGCGCGACGTTGAGTTTCCTAGAATTAAAGTATGTTCTAGGTTAATTGTTATTGAATTTATATTATGTGATTATAAATTCCTACAAGTGGTATCAAACCGGTCATCGACTGCTAGATCTAGATTATTTGTGTATATATGTGAATATATTCGAATTTGATTTATTGACCACAATCAAAGGAAAAGTCTGTATGTGGTTTAAATCTTTCATCCAAATAACATACAGTATATGCGTGAGGCATAAGGATTTGAAGTTGCCAAATTAATTGATTACTATTCAATTTGCGGCTTGGGACCATTATGGTATTTNCAAATTGCTTTAGTGATTAATAATAAGGTATTGCTAAATTATATGATTTGCTAATATATATGCCTTTACTGTATGCTATTGAATGTCAAAGGCTCAAAGTCCAAATTTGTTTTTCTTCGACTTGATTAAATAAAAGTCTAATTTTGTTTATATGCTTTTATTTAAATTGAATTGGGGAGTACTCATTAGAATAATGTGCGCTATTGTGGTGATAAACACGTGACAATTATTTGGTTGTACATATAAACGACGGCTCAAATGAAGATTTATTGTTTGATATGTTATTATTGTTAATGTTTGATTACTGCACTAAGATATCAATTACAAGTTAATATTTTATCCAAGGATGAAATATTAATGGAGTTGTGATGTTTTGGGATAAAGTTACCTTTATTTGAGGTTATTATTTTAATTCTTTGTAATTTTTGTGAGCATAAATATTGATGTTATTAATTGTATGCTCTCGGAAATCTATGGAGTTATCCATCTAAAGGTTGATTTTTAAACTTTCTTTATTCATAGAGTTTTAAATCAACATAAATTAGGTTTATGGTCTTTCACTAAAGGAGATAAAATAAAATGGTGGATCTTTATTTTGTCTTATTTTGTTATATTGATTTTAGGTTAAATTGTGAGTATATTTGAGCTTTGGTGGGCATTTGGTTTTCGTCCAACTCGGCTCAAATAACAAAATTAATTTGTTTTTAGCTCAAAATCTGAATGTTTGAACTTTGTTCTATGTTTTGTGGACTTACTTCACATTCAGTAAGGTTAGGCCTAATTTGGTCAAACTAGGCTTTGTTTATATAAAGTTGACTTTAAAGGCTAATTTGGTTTAATGGACTTTAAACTCAAATAAAGTTAATGGACATAAGTTTATATAAAGTCATATTTTGGCTCAAATTAGAAGTTAGATTTTGAGGTAATCTTTTTCTTGGTATCTCAAAATTTTTATAAGGTCTAGATTTTCAGTTTGACTTTGCGGTAGACTCATAATGTGTTTCCGGAATGCGGGGCTAATTATCCGGATAGGATTTATATTGAATTTTTTCACATATAAACTATAAGGACTCTTTGAGCCAATTATGAGAAACATATTAAGCATTTTCATGACTTATGTGCTTAATTTGGTTTCGGCTTAAATTCCAAAATAATGTCATGTTGAGGTTATATATGCTTGAGCTCATTTTCGGATAGTAATTTTATGACTAATGGAATGAATTTTAGCCCATTTTGGTAATAGTGGGCCGTAAATTCAAAAGAAAGTTTATTTGGATTTAAGCTTATTGAAATTAGATTTTAAGTCTAATTGGTTATATAGGCTTTCAATCTAAATAAAGTTAGAACTAAATTTATTTTGGTTCATAAACTTTACAGTTTTCCTGGTGCGACGTTTTAACGTTGTTCAATTGAGTAATAGAGAAATTCTCAGTCACATTTACTCTGATTTTGTGATTTTCAATTTAGTCAATCAAAGTATCATGTTGCCATAGCAACCCATGTGCATAGAGAATGACTTTATTGAAATCATTTTAATGTTGTGTGAAGTTGTTCATGTGATCTGTGCTCGGCCCATAGGTAGACACAAGTTGACCGAATAATAACGCACATATGGCGATAAGAAAAACTCATATGGATTTTACTCAATTGGTCTAGTAATTTTCAATTTAGTCAATCAAAACATCATGTTGCCATAGCAACCTCTGTGTGTGGAGAGCGACTTTATTGAAATTACATAGATGTCGTGTGGAATTATTTATGCGTTTTGTGATCGACCCATAGGTAGACGCAATTTGGCAAAATAATAACACATATGTGATGATAAGTATGTGATAATTATTTGGATTGTTCATGTGAACATTAGTCAGTCTATAGATAGACTTTTGTTTGACAGAACTTATTATCAATGCTTGATCGTTACAACAGGCCACCACTGAAGTTAATTTTTTGTCCATAGACGAGATTAATGTTGCACTCTGGTGTCTTGTTACGTGTCCCGATTTGGTCTACGTACCCATATTTATGCATGACATAAATTTATGTGAGAGTATTTTGGTATTGTTCTCTAACTTTTTCTTCTGCTTACCTTAAGTCATTTGTCATTATATATTTTTCTATAAGTTTTATATGCTTATAGAACAATATTTAGTTATTATTGGGACATAAGGTTGATGGTTCATGTAGGAAGTTCCACGATGGATATTTGGTGAAATAATATATCTTTTGATTATTGTTTCAATAAAGTTAAATGGAACATAAGGAAGTACATTGTGATATGTTTAAATCTCGTATTCAATCTAAGGGCGCATTAATTGCGCATAAGGTGTTTCTTTTGTTATGTGATTAAAGAAAATTTGAACGAGAAAAGACTTAATGTACGATGTATCCTTCATTGATCTACATTCTAAAGTTTGCTTCTCAATATGAGTTAGCTAGTTTAGTTTTGTACCATTTAAGTATTTTGTGAGTAGTTTTCTTGTTTTGTCACTCACATAAAGCAACCAAATTTTTACATGGTACAACACATATGAAACTAACTCAATTTTGTTAAGGTTGTGGTAAAAAAAAATATGATTGACCATTTCTCTTTGCCATTAATGTGAAGCAATGTGATTCGTTATTAATAGAGTTTGTGAATGGTGTAAAACCCATATCCCTTATGGTATTTTAAACTTACACTTTGGGGATGTCCACCTAAGGTAAGACTTTAATGTCTATAAACTACTCGTTCAAAATTCTATAAGGCTTTTTAATAATGAATTTAAAGTTAATTTGAGGAAGTTGAGCTTGAGTGGGAGATAAGGTTATAAAGCATTATTTAGGAATGCAAATATGGTCCCAAAATGCAAACTCAACCACCTCAAATAAGTATATTAAAGCTTTGATGAAATTATGTGTGATTGACATTTTGAAGTTTGTCAAATTGTCTAAAAGTATGAGTCTCATTGGTCATAAATGTGGCTTAATGGATTCATAAGACAATAATGAGAGACATAAGGTATGTCTAGTCAACATAATTTTCATCTAAATAAGGACTTTGTTACAAGAAGTTTTTCTTTTGGTTTTGATGAGAAACTTTTTGTAATCTATGTCATTTTGAAACTTTTGATATTAAGGTAACTCCCTCTATGGTATTACA